ATACATTTGTAATAATTCTTTTCTTTAATAAAATTCTAAATTACTTAACCCATAAATCATACTTGTCTTTTAAAATATATTTGATTGATAAACCTTTAGAAGCTCTCCATAAATCTCGCCTCATAAATCTTAAAGCTAAATCCCTTGTTAATCTTGCGTTAATACTAATTTTCAGTCGTTAGTATCATAAGATAACAGTATAATATAGTTTTGTCATTTTTATAAGCTTTAATATAGTTTTACCTTTTTTTGTATTTTGCAAATTTTTTAATAAGCTTTTTATATAATTTAACTAAGTTTTATTTTTAATATTTAGACGCTTATCTAAATTCTATATATTATTCAATAACCTTAATTATGATATTAACTGATATTAATGAAATATTATTAATAAATTTAAATTATTAAATCATTTGTTTATAAAATTATGAAAATTTGCATCTATTATTGTAATAAATTTTGTTAAATATCATATTACAACTTTTATTTTAAAATTAAATTATATTTCAAAAAAACTTTTTTTAAAAAATAGCTATTTCTTTATTTTTTTAAAAATATTCTTTTAAATTTGAATTTTATAAAAGATAAGAAATAGTATATAAATTAAAATATTTAAAAAAAAATTTCTTCTGATAAATCTAATAATTAAGATTATGCAATTCAATTTGATTTTTGAATATTTGAATTAATTCGATCAAATTCAAATCAAAGAATGATTATTTGATCAAATTCAAATTAATGTTTGATTCAATTCGATTAAATTCAAATCAAATATTCAAATATTTGATTTTATTTGAATCAATAATAAAGTCATCTTCAAAGTTTTAAAAGTGGCTTTTACTAAGAAAACTATAGTAAAAATCACTTTGTGACTTTAAAAATGCCTTTTTACTAAGTCTCTATAGCTTCAGAAATGCCTTTTTTACTAAGAAAATTATAGCAAAAAGTGTCTCTACAACTTCGAAAATGCTTTTTTTACTAAGAAAAACATAGTAAAAATGCCTTCACAGTTTTATAGACGTTATTTTATTAAAAAAATATAGTAAAAAATAGTTTAATGACTTTGGAGACATTATTTTACTAAAAAAATAGTAAAAAAGGCCTTTGCAGCTTCAGAAATGCTATTTTACTAAGAAAATATAGTAAAAAATACCTCTGCAGCTTTAGAAACATTTTTTTACTAAAAAATCTAGTAAAAAATACGTTTGCAGCTTCAGAAATGCTTTTTTACTAATAAAATTTTTATGAAGCTGAGATGGTGATTATTACTAAGTTTTCTTAGTAAAACTAAAGCTGTGATAACAATTATTACTAAGTTTTCTTAGTAAAACTGAAGCTGCAATAGCAGTTATTACTAAGTTTTTTAGTAAAACTGAAGCTACAATAGTGGTTATTATTAAGTTTTCTTGTAAAACTGAAGTCACAATGGTGGTTATTACTAAGTTTTCTTAGTAAAATTAAAGCTGTGATAATAGGTATTACTAAGTTATTTTAATAAACTGAAGCTGCGATAATGATTATTATTAAGTTTTCTTAGTAAAACTGAGACTGCAGTATTATTTTATTAAGTCTAATAGTAAAAATTCACTTGTTACTAAACTTGCTTTGTAAAAGCTATCTTTAAAATTTTTAGTGCAATTACTAATAATTTTCTTAATTAAAACTTTAGAATAACTTTATTTTAATATATTATTATAAAAATTAAAAAAAATTTATATTCGATTCGATTCGATCTGATTCAATTCAATTTGATTTGATTTGATTTGACAAATATTTGATTCATTTGATTCAATTCAATCAAATTCAAATCAATTCAAATTGATTTGATCAAATATTTAAGTTCAATTTGATTCAATTCAATTCAATTTAAAAAATCAAATTAAATTCAAATTGCTTAAATATTTGATTCGATTCGATTTTGAGGAACACTACTTATAATAATATGTTTAACAAAGAGATAATAAGTTTTTTATATAATAGTTTTACATAATCTAAAACAATTTTAATTCTTCATATAAAATGAAATTTTTAATTGTTAAGATAGATTTCTCTTATATATTATTATAGTTTATTTATATTTATTGTAAATTTTTAGGATATAATTTATCAAAATCTATATTTTGTGCTTTTTATTACTAGAAATAGTATATAAAATTTAATAAAAACAATAGTGAATTTATTAAAATATAAATTAAATATAAAAATATTTATTTTTATTATATAAAAAAGATTTTTTATTTAGATTTAAATCATTAAATTGCAAACGTGTTAAACTTAATGATAGAATTATTTGATTTTAAACAGATAATTCTTTATATTATAAATATATTGATTCCAAAAACTTTTGTATCTATAAAATAGTAAGTAAAAATTTTTAACATTTTTTTAATAATAAATTACTTTCAATCTATTATTTATAATAAAGTAAAATAAAAAATATTAAATCAATTTTCATTTCAGATATTTTAAAAATTAATAATAAAAAATATATATGTATAATAGAAAAATTTTTATAAAAAAATGATAAGTATATCGATATGATAAGTTTGTGAATTAGATACATAACACAAAATAATTATGATTTTTTAAATAGTAAAATTTATTATATAAAGTTTAGCATCATATACTTTTATACATTCTAATCTGAAATCTATCTTTGTGTTGAATCATAAAAAACCGGAATTTGGTCAGAATTTGTGCTTAAAAGATTCACATAACATAAAACCTAAATAAAACTTTGCATAATTATTTGTTGTAAATTATAAGAACATATATCATAGATAGTATTTTTACCATTTTTTGTAAAATATATTAATTTATCCTTTTTTAGAACAATCCTAGTTCAATTTGTCCGGATTTTGCATGTTTGGTCTAAAAATTACGGATATAGATTCTTGTCCAATTTCTAGATATTTTCCAGGCATTTTTGGGTAATAACTAATCGTGGAATGAATAACTTAATTGGTTTTATTTGATAATTCAATTTTTACACAGATAATTATTTATTTTAAAAAAAAAAAAACTATTTTGCGGGTATAATCGTTTAAGTCAAGTGATATTATAAATTATAAGTATCTATTCTATTGTTATGCATACTGTACATGCACTAAGAACAATTAAAAATTTTTTCGAAACACGGAGTGATGTGATACCTTACAATTCGGTCGTATAAATAATTATATTTATTTCTTAATAAGAGATGAAATTTCCTGTCATAGAATTCAAATTTAAGGAATAACTTATCTCCTGACAATGCTTAAATTCGGCAGTTGCAATTGTTTAATTTTAATTATTTCGCTGGTTTTCACATTTATACATACATGTAGTACGAAAGTTGTTTCAAGCCGATGCGGTCATGGCGCTGCGCTTGTGAAGGACAAGTAGGTTTTGAATGCGAATACTTGGATTACTTTTATATTGGAAAAAAATAGGATTTGGACTAAGAAAGTAACTAACATCAGTAAAAAAAAAAAAAAACTTTCACTATAGATTGTACATTTTTGGAGGAAAATTTGAAGGGGAAAATAATATTATCGATTCTAATTTGAATACAAATCAACTTCTCACTCTTGACATGTCAAAATCTTTCTCAGTGTCGGATCCTACGTGGACAATACGTTCGGTAGGCCCAAGTGTTGCATATCATACACTTAGTATTGGTGGATCACAAAACGATCTTTTAATATTATGTGGCGGGGAGTATTTTAACCCAGTACCAGAAAATCCATTATTTTATTTCAATACTTCGGAGCAATCCCCTGAATGGATTAATATTAGATTAATTTTAAAGCCATTGAGGGAACATACGGTTGTTACAAGATTAAGTGATTCCATGAATTATATTTATGGTGGCATTGATACAAATGACCCTGAAGTTTCAGCAAAAGTTCAATTAAATGATTTACTTAAATTCGATACAAGACAAAATCTCTTGAATGATTTATCGGTAGATCCAAAATTACCACCAGGAAGATTTCACCAAACTGCAACAATCCTTCCTGATGGAAAAATGTATGTAATTGGAGGGTTTTCCATAGATAAGTTGGTAGAAATGAGTCAAATTTATGTTTATGATACAATAAATGGAGTATGGGATGATGTTCAGGTATATTAAATTTTTATCGAAATAAGACTTTTTTTTAAAACTTTTATATTTAACTTTTTAAATTTGAATGAAGCAAACAGTTGGTGGTGCTTTGCCTTTAGCACGTAGAGATCATGTAGCAGTAGGAAGTAAGCTGAAATCCATTTTTAATCTTATAATGAAGAACAAATTAAGATGCATTTTAATTTGTAGCTCAAGATGGTAGAGTGATTATACATGGCGGTGTTAATGTGGATTACAGTAAACCCTATAATGATATCGCGATTTTGGATACAACCATTCAACCTTTTACTTGGTTTATCCCGGAAGTAAAGGGAAATGTACCACCAGCAAGATATTCTCATACAGCTACAATGGTTGGAACTAGCATGTTGATTGCTTTTGGTGTACTTAGTATGTACTCACTTAAATTTCTTCATTTTTTTCTGTCACATGACACTTGTTTGTTGATATCTCTTTAAATGAATTTTTTAGGTTCTTCAGAAAAAGGAGATATTTTAGATGACAATATTTATATCTTCGGTAGAAATTTTTTTATTATTTTAAAAGTGAAAAATTAATATTTTAATCGTTTCTAAATGATGTTTCATTAGATACAGCAACATACGTTTGGAAAGATAATTTTATCCCAACAACGACCCCATCCCCATCCCCATCACCCTCACCAACATCCTTACCGCCGTCAAAACTTGGATTAATAATTGGTTTTACATTAGGAGTAATTATACTCCTTTTATTGGTATCTTTTGGTTTATACCGGCTTTATCGTCGACGGAACAAAAAATTACCCTATATGACAGAAGAACAAGCATCAAATCAAGTTCACACTGATGAACAAACTTCAAATCAAGTTAAAAAATTTCTTTGTATTTAATAGTTCATTAATTTCAATGAATAGCATTCATGATTATTTTACCTTAGACCAATTATAATTAGAAAACTTGTAAGCTAATTGTTTAAAATGTAAGTGCCGAATATCTATTTATAAACTTTCTTTATATTTTCAAAGCAGAACATCGCAGGCGGAAAATTCTGTTCGAATGAAATCTAATTTGTATGTAATTTAAAAAACTGTAAAAGTAAGATAAGATTTTAAAAAACATGAATGAAAAAAATAAATTTATTAAATAATTTACCAAATGAATACATGATGGGCTCTTTGCGCATTGTCAACAAAGCTTTATAATTCGCATAGTACGTCATGAAATATTCGAACAATCTAAAAGTGATTTTCATGATTTTCAAAGTTCCGTAAAAGAAAAGTAACACTGCAAAATAAACACAAAACAATATTTATGTTAGTTTAGCAGCCTTTTCCTTTTACGATTTTGTCAAAAGTCCATACTTATTAGCTATATAAATAATCGAATGAGGGAGGAACAAAAATTGGAAGTAAAGTTAATATGGACATTAATAAATATTATTTCTTTTACATTGTTTTCATAATCATGAACGACGTGTTTTCGATGTCATTAGAATTTGAACATTCCATTTAACAGGCTGATAAAGTTTTGGTTTGTATTAATTTCATAAAAACATTTCGGCGAGACGCTTCCAAAATAAAAACGTTCATACGTAAATTATTGGTTAACGTCTTCTAGATTACACACATTCTTCAAGAAAGGAAAAAAATTCGCAGGCAAAAAAGTGCATAATTCTTGCAATATTCACGACAATATAAAGAAAATAAGGTACGGGCTGGTAATGAGTGGAGGATATCTGTAGTTTGGCAATTGTTTATGGGAGGTATCTTTTTTATTTTTTTTGCTTTATCTAGGCATGGTCTAATTTCTTTTTTCTTTCCTTTTACAGGTCAGAAAGGTCTGACGGGAAGAAAGAGAGAAGTAATTTATACCATCCAACGCATCATTCGACGTTCAGAATGAATCCTTAAGAGGTAGGGTTAAGCTTGTATTTGGCGCAATCATTCGGTTATCATGAGCATTGATGAAGTTTCATATGGGGCTTCCTGACATATGTTAGTTTAAACCATACAGTTTGTGACTTCCTACTGGATGTCTAACGCATTGGAACCAGTGGTCGGGTCTCCTATTAAATTTCCTTAAAATTTATGATATTGCGGTCGCGTTCTGTTCTTTCTCTCTCCTTACTTAGTAGAAATACTAAAGTGTTCTTTATTATTTTTTGTTATAGTACTACTTTAGGGGAAAAAAAAAGGTTCGGTCCGGTTATAATAGTGGTCAAATGTGGTGGTAGATTAAAAGTTAAAGTGGAAGGGGGTTAAATTTGGTCTTGTATAAAGTAGTATAAAAATTATTTATTTTATCATTTGAGTTTTGTATTATTGTAAAAATAAATACAAACACAATTTTATTTTTTTTAAAAGTTAAAATGCAAAGATTGAATTTGCCCATAAAACTGTCAAAGTGGTTCTACTTTATTTGAAATACTTCAAAGATTTCTACAATGAAACTATCTGGGATGCCTACATGAGGATATTGAGTTACCTGACGACTAATGGTCCAATTGACACTATTTGGACAATACAAATTACCCATACTGGGTCCTTCGTTATTATAGCAATATAATTTATTCGAATCATTAAAGTAACCAACTTTTGCAGTTGAAATGTTTTTTCCATCCGTAAAATTAAATAGAAAACTATCCTTCGAAACTTTAGCTATATTCCCATTCCAATCGAGTGGGTTATACCCGCCAATGAGTTGCGTCGAATCTTGAATTTTGGTTATCCAAATAGTGGCACCTTTGTCATCACAGCTCTTATGAAATTCCGTAGCATTAAATCCGTTCTGATCGGAACGATACAATAACTTAAATTTATAAGGTGTGCTTTTTCTATTATAATGTGATGTGCCTTTTTTATCAATCCATGAAGCAAAGAGAGGAATGTATTCTGAATCAATTAAGTTTGAATCAAGTTTAAACTTTAAATTCGGTTTCCTTGAAGGAAGTGATATGTTATCTTTAGGCTTGAAATTAGGAACTACATGAAATTCTAAAAGGCCATGAATTAAATTTTCTGGTAGTATGTTCCTATAGCAATAAACCTTGTAAAAGAAATCCGTCGGCCCGATATCATAAAATCTAATTAAAGGAATAAATCTGAGTAATGTCCCCTCTAACTTTACAATATCCTCTTTACTCCACTCGGTCGGTTCATTCTTCAGATTCCGTTGAGCAAGACACCATTTTAATAGGCTATTCCAAACTTCAATTTCATTTATGTTCAAGTCATCTCGCTTTAGTAATAATTCCAATAATGACTCATTCAATCTCGTAAATTTGTCTGAATTAAATAAAATTTCGGGTGCGTCGCAAATCTTTTCTAGGCAAAACTTCCATAAATCCGTAAACGCTTCGTGCTGATGGACCGCCTCGATTAATCCAATCGGATTTTGATCTAAAAATTCCTTTTGATATTCAAACAAGTATTCTTGAATGTGGGGAATTAATGATAGGATATTAAGTTCATCTACTGCTATCAACAATTGCAATATATCCGATCCTTTTAAATTCTTCAATTCAATTTTTCCGCAGTAAATAAATCTAGGTTGAAAAATAAATAAATTATTTAATTTGATTTCTTCATAAATAAGGTAGGTAATTTCTATTTACCTAAGTATAATATCAAATAATTGTGGCGAAATGTTTGGTTTTTTCAAAATAAATCGACCATCTTCCTTCTTGGCCCATTCATTTGAAAATGCTGAACGAAAATATTGCGATCTAATGCATAAAATATTTGAATGTGCATGAATTTCTTTAACGTTTTGTTCCACCCCTGCGAAAATAATAACATCATATCCTAATCCTGATTCAAAAAGTTTTTCATAATCATCGAATAATTCATTCGAAAATTTCGAAGTCATCTTTTATCATAAAATAAAGAAAGAAAAAGTATGTCGCAAATTTTTAACAAAGAATGAAAGTTGCATTACGTGAGACAAAGTTACGCCTAATATACAGATCATTTTTAATTTAACCATAATAATGAAGATGGGGGTTCCGAAACCTTATTTAGACATAATATAGATTTCCATAAATGTGTTGTGATAAGCTGTTTTCTTAATAAGACACATTTTAAAATTTGGTGTATATTGTAATCGGGTTTAGTACAAAATCTCGAAGATCAAAATCCCGAAGTCATAATCCCGAATGACCATAATCCCGAAGGGTCAAAATCTCGAATAATCATAATCCCGAATGATCATAATCCCGAATATTATATTTTTTTAAAAAATACAAT